TTTGATAATTATAAGGCCTAAACAGCTTCAAAAATAGTTTCATGACGCTAAGACACAAGAAATTAGATTTCAGCTCCTAGGATCCTATCATTATGGAGTAGATGGCTTTTCTTGGGAGGACCTTCTGACCATGGGGAAAAAAAATTCTGAAAATACCTGCTGATCTAGTAAAAGAATCTAAAAGTGTAAGGAAACTACTTGAGCTTAGGAGTAGATACAAGATATAAACCCAGTGTTGTTAGCAGGGATTTTTCAAATGGAACAAGTGTGTGGTGGGTTGGCGCAGCAACAGGATAGGAAATAAGACTTGGAGTATAAGAATTAGTGTAACAAAGAGGGTACATTAAAGAAGTGCCACAGCTTAAGATGGATGAAGTAAATCCCAGTAACTCAAGAGAGAAATTATAACAGAATATTGGGAAGGTGGCACTCATATCTATTACAGAAGATGATACAGCCTCTATTTTTCCACCATCATCCTTCCCAAATTCTGGTAAAATCATATTTCAGGGTGATGGAAGAGAGACTAATGGTATTTAAGGCTGTTTAATTATGGCCTAAGTTATCATACACCACTTCTTTATTCTTACAGGATAGGCTGATTTGCATGAAAGATCAGAAATATAGTTTAGTTAAATGTTACTGTGTCTCTGCAAGATACTGATGCTGCCTCCCATCCCAATACATTAATTCATATGGATCAAAGGTTGAGTGAACATGGGGCAGAAAGGTTCACATAGTAACTAACACTGTTAGACATTTAGGAGAGAGAAGGGGAGAAAATACATTATTTGCAAATGGCTGACAGTGGGGAGACCAGCGGGCCTTGAGTCAGACAATGATTCTTTTATATTCTTATCTAGATAAACAATTGTGTATGTCCTTGACCAGAGAAATAAGGCTAAAAGCTTAACTTTTATTCCCATCCTGCCTTTCAGTGGTCTTTCACACAGATAATCCCAATTTGCTACTATAGAGGCTAAACATCAACCATTGGTTTAAATCTTTTTCTGCTGATAAGTTATTTTGTCTATTAAAAATGATGTCTTCTATATTATTATAAATATTCTTATTTTTCTGAATGGAAAGGAATATTAGAATAAAAATAATTTTATTATATTCATTGTAATGCTGAAAGTCACATTATAGTTCTGATAAAAAGTAAATAAATTCAAATATACCACAGAAATCATACAAATAAAGGCAAAGCAAACATCAGTAAAAAGAAAAACTTAATGGGAGAAAAAGACCAATACTAACAAACAAGCATATCAATAGCTATAAACTATTTGCTTACAATATAAAGAGTTTGTAAAAAAGAAACTATGTAATATTTTTCCCAAAGTTAATGAGACACATTTGAAATGTCAGCAATAGGCAAAAAGTTAAAGGATAATATTAAGTTTATCATGCCCATGCAAATAATATAAAACTGAGATTATAATAAAAGATACGGTAGATTTCAGAACAAAAAATACTACCTACAATTAAAAAGGCCATTATATAACTTCAACAATACTTGTTCCAAATTTTCTGAGAAAAGTGAGTTAAATATTAGATGAAATATAATCTATCAGAGATTTCAACCCTTATCAAAATCTGGGTGGAATGAGACATAAATAAGGTAGAGTCAAATAAAATTAAAATATTTAAAAGACAAATATTATACTTCAGTGATTCTTATTCTTTTTCACTGTTCCTTTTGAGAATTTGATTACATATATAGAACCTGTCTACAAATAAATTTTGCCTACAATTTCAGGTATTCAAGAACTTTCTGAAGCTACATTCCCATCCCTTAGTATACATTAGGATCATAATAGCTAACATTTATAAGCCCTTCCCAAGCGCTAGGTATTCTACTAACCACTTTATATGCATTTTATTTAATTCTTAAAACAACCTTATAAGAAGTACTACTCTTATCTTCAAATAATCTATGAGATCAGCACTATCATTTCCATTTTACAGATCAGGAGGGTGACACTTTTGCTGTTACTTGTCCAATGTTATGCAGCCAATAAGTAGAGAAATGGGATTTATCTACATCCTTATCTCTCTGATTCCAAGTTTCCAGCTCTTAATCACTATGATTCACTGCCTCTTGCTAAGGTCTTTTTAAATTAATTTTAAAAATCAATATACCTGAAAAAGAGATCTAAACATATCCCAAAGTATATCCAATCCCAGTTTTTAATTTATATAACCCTCATTGCAAAATAGAATTTGAAGTAATTACAGAGATACACACAAAATGAAAAATAAACATAGGATTTACCATATGATCCACTCATGGGCATATATCCAGAGAAAACTATAATTCGAAAAGACGCAAGCATCCCAATGTTCATAGCAGCCCTATTTACTACAGCTAAGTCATGGAAGCAACTTAAATGTTCATTGACAGATGCTTGGATAAAGAAGATATGGTATATTTATAGAATGGACTACTACTCAGCCATAAAAAGGAATGAAATAATGCCATTTTCAGCAAAATGGATAAACCTAGAGATTATCATACCAAGTGAAGTCAGATGGAGAAAGACAAATATCATATGATATCACTTACATGTGAAATCTTAAAAAAAATGATAGAACTAAACTTATTTACAAAACAGAAAGAGACTCAGACATAGAAAACAAACTTATGGTTACCAAAGGGGAAAGGGTAGGGGGAGGGATAAATCAGGATTTGGTGATTAGCAGATATAAATTATATATATAAACTAGATAAACATCAAGGACCTAATGTTTGAACTACATTCAGTATCTTGTAATAATCTATAATGAAAAAGAATATATACATGTATAACTGAATCATTATGCCATATACCAGAAACTAACACAAAATTGTAAATCAAATATACTAAAGTTAAAAAAAAAAGTAAGGTCATCTACGATTGATATAAAGGTGAGCCACATATTTGCCTCTGAATGATACAGTAGCCAGGGAAAAGAAGTATTTAATCAGTAATGTTTTACCTGGTACTGAATTGGAGAAAAAGATATTTTCTGGGGAACATTGAGTGTGTGGACAATAGCCTCAACATTATACATAGTGATTTTAAGATAAATGTTTCTTACAAGAAATTTCTTACATATTTCTTGATGAAGGCCAAAGCATAATGTCACACTGTCAGGAAAGACAATTCTATCCAGGGTACAATGCAGTTTCAGCACACAACTCTACAATGTCTGGATGGGGCAGAAGATAAAATATAGAAAAAGCAAGGGAATGGACAGACTGTACATCCTTCAGGTAACCTTTCTGGCAATTACGCCTTTGAATCTAACAGCTGGTAGTTTATTTTCTCTAACAAGATCCTAGACTATAGAAATTCTACATCGTTTAGTAGGCCTGACTCATATGCATGGACAGTTGAGCAGAGGGAAAAACTGGTAAATTCTTACGGAAGTTAGAGGGCCTGAAGAGGACAGATACCTGAATTTTAGACTTTTTACCAAAGTGAGCTGAAGGAAGACCTATGTGTAGAGATACCATCTAATTCACACTGATGTGCAAATATGTAGTATTTGAGACATGGTGAAATCCAAACAGAAAATTTTCTTTGTTTTTGTCAAATAAGAATGTTGCTACAATATAATGAGATTACGGAAAGCTGCCAAGGCAGTACTTGAGAAAACATATTCCCCTAAATATCTTTATTCATTAACAAAATAATAAATTCAGTGTCTACATAAGAACACAGATATGGAACAAAGTAACAACCTTACATATATAAGAAAATTAAAAAATGAAAGAGTAGAAATAAACTATTCAAACTAATAGTAACTAACATTAAACACAAGTTAGAGTTGCTGCTTTGAAAAAGAACCAACTTACAACAGTGTTCCAGTTGTTAAAAGAATAAAATAAAATTTAAGAACATTGAGATAGAGAGTTATTTCTAAATTTTACTTTGGAGATGGAGGAGAAGGGACCAAATTAAGTTCATAAAAAGAGGAAACATTAGAGTGATGCCTTTAAAGTTTGGTAAGATGAGGACAAACAGGAATAGAGCACTGGGAGGGGGAAAAGGCATTCCTGGAAGATGAAAAAGCCTAAGGATATAGACACGGAAGATACTCTGTGCCATTGAGAAATAAGGCAGTTAAGGTTAGTTGAGACAAATTATGGAGGTTCTCATTATCACCAAATATGTAGAAGAAGGAAGGAAGAATAAAAAGAGAAAAACAGAAGACTGAGCTTTCAGGAAAACAAAGCAGTTTGAAAGTGGAGGAGGCAGATGCTTTACAGATATTTGTTGACTGAATAAAAGAAATGGTCATTACTGAATATTGTCATAGAAGTCAAAACACAAGAATAAGCCTAGTGATTTTACAAGGAGAATGTGAAAGCAAGATGATGTACTCTCTGTATAAAGATATTTATAACCTAATTAGGAAGACCAAGAACTACATAACAGTACAATATAATACAAATAATCTAATACCTCATATTATATTTACCTTTAATAGGTACGTATTTGAACACGTCTTTCTGTAGTGTTCCCAGAGAATTCTGAATCCATGCACCTTTTACATTTAAGTGAATACCTTCCATATGATAGTTAGGGGAAGGTGTTTGAAATTTCTGGAGGAGTTATCAGATGAACTTCCCTTCTCAGATTGGTGACTTTACCATAGTCAGAGTAGTTGCTATTTCAAAGCAAGTAGAACCAAACTTAGAAAGTTGCTAGGTATGCCAAAAAGAAGCCCTTTAAATTCAACCACATGTGTTATCACTTCAAGCAAGAGGTATGGATTCTATGGTGATGTCATTACACTATGAGAAGATGTTGTTGCTACACCAAGAGATTATGTACCACAACAACAGTGATTGTATTATTCTTTTTTTTTTTGCAGGGGGGAGGTAATTAAGTTTATTTATTTATTTGATTTTTCAGTAGAAGTACTAGGGATTGAATCCAAGGACCTCAGGCATGCTAGGCATGCACTCTACCACTTGAGCTATACCTTCCCCCTGTGTTATTCTTAACACTTAAACTGAAGCCAGAATTAGCTAACATATTTAAAGTTTAGGATGTAACCTTTAGAATGGAAGTTGAATAAAATAATTTTCCAGGTAAGATAATGGGTTTGAAAGTAAGTCTGTCTGCCTCTCTCTTTCTCTTCTCTATTATTATTTCTATATTTGTATTTCTACTGATATATGTTTAGAAAATAAAATTAAAGTTGCCTCCTAAATTTAATGGACAAGTTGATTACCATGCATTTAATTATAGTACCTTCCTTTACTAGGACTATATAGAGGATAATAATATAGAAGTCTAAAAATATTTCAGAGAACTTTTCTGTTTAAGACATAATCTTGCTTATTTTCAATGAAATAGGCAACGATGCCAAATTAAAGCAAGCTTGTATGTTTGTATAATTCCATGCACCAATATCCGTACATCTATCCCCCACACCCAATGCCATACATACACCATGATACGGATCCACTGTTCAACCATTGTCAATCAACAACTGCAGAAATGTCCATAGTTTTTTGTTAACAGGTAAACACTGGCTTCTGTTTACTGATCCAAAGCATAAGGAGAGGGAGAAGCAAGGCATTTATAAATTCAGTTACATGACAAGCTTTTTCAAATATCATAGGTAAAGTTAACATTTTAGAAACCTTTATACAAATAAACACTACTTTACCAATATGACATCTTGACATTGTTAATCCAAATGTATGCAGATATAATCTGGTAAATTTGTTTAATGGCAATACCAGCACTCTTACTGATGAAATCTTGAGTTGTTGGTATGGCTTTGTATACTAGACTATTTGTGATATATTCATATAAATTCTGATTTACTTCATTTAATTAGCCTCCAATGCAGAGGATATAAATTATAGAAAATACAATATGCTCAGTATAAGCTTCTTTTAAAAAAACATTGTTTAGTAAGGGCTAAGTTTTTAATACATTTTGATTTCTTGTGAGCATCCTTTCATGCTCAAAAACGTACCTGCCATTCAGAATATTTTTTAAAGAAATATAAAATTTCCATTAAAATATAGTTCATAGGATGAGGATTTGAAGTTAGATCTTTAAGTGTAAATTTAAGAAATATACTTACCTTTGATTCGAGGTAGACATTTGCTGATGACATTTTTGTGATTTTGCATATGTAACTAACTAAAGAGATGGCACAAAGAATAAACAGGCTGTCATTAATTAACGCTCGAACAAACACAGTCCATTTCAACTGATTTTCTGGGACATCTCCGTGGACTAGCATTGCACAAGTCAAGTTCACCACTAAAAAGAGAAGGCTTGCCATTATAAAGCCCAAATGCAATAGAATTCTGAAAGAAAAAAATGAATTTATTAGGTTATTAGTTTATAAAACTAATGAGAAATTAAATTTAATGCTGAATTAGTGTGTTACTTTAAGTACAATAATTCCTTCAATTTAAACTGTTTGCAGTTTCATTAAATATAAATTTAATAATTACTCACAGTTACTTGGGATATTTTTGCTGTTATAAAATTAGTATCTAAACCATTTAAAAATGGCATCAGATTTTAAAGCATTAATTTAAAAATAATCTCATGTGGACTTGAATTCAGTCGCCTCTACTAGGAGGAATAATATAGGACTATTTTAACATTAATTCAGGCAATCCTGAATTTTTCATTTTTATGATTGCTAAGCACATTTTCATTGACCCTTCCATTCCGAGAGTTATCAGGCTTTTATAATTTGCCTGGAAAAATAATATACTTTATATAAATTTTAATTGATCCCTAATATTAACTTTAAGAGTTAAGGGAAATGTGTTTAAAACAATGTTCAATTTTATGAACATCTGATTATCTATAGCAAACATTTCTTTCAAACATGACTAAGAAGAAAGATAGGGACTACCTATGCAGAGTTTCATACACTCATCATACCCTATCTTCTTAGAAAGTTGCATATTTACTATGCATACAGAACAACTCCCATAGTGAAATACTCGACAACTTTCCCCTAAAAAAAATTAGACCACCTTATAAAAACCCATCAGGTAAGGTATAGCTATCTGTATCAAGCAGCTGGAATAGCTATCTATACAAAAGTAATCCCAGTTCAAATACATTTATACTCCAAATTAATATGATCTAGAAATTTATTCTAATATATTCTGTTTTGGGTCACTTTCAATAGTGGGAATCATAAAAAGTTGTCTGTCTTTGGAAATAATTTACACAAGGAAAATTGAAGGTAATGTGTAACCTGTAACAAGCTATCTTTGTTAAGTATACACACAAACTACAAAGATTTTAGTTTGAGAAGCTTAAATATTAACATTCTCTCAGATTAAATAATAAAACAGTTATATTTTGAAACCCCAGTCTGACCTTGAAATTACCCACACATCCAGGGGATTATGGTAGTTTAGGAAACAAAGCATGGAGAAGACAGATGAGTTGAATAGTTGGCAAGTTTGTGGGAGAATTGGTCTGAAACCCAAGGTTCCTGACTCCCCAGCTTAGCACTTTCATTTTTGAGGTGAATCAGTACCGAAGCATTACTTATTTCATGGAACTATGCTATCTATTCTCACCCCAAACAGCATAATCTACATTCAGTATTTGTGGATCCTATGAAACTACATCTGACATTTGCAACGGGACAAACAAAGGTGTTAGCCAGCAATATGGCTGAAGGGGGAGGACTGCTGGTTACTCAGTTCACTTCCTGTGAACTAATCTAACTACCTGATCGTCTATAAGGCGGCTAAGGCTCCCTCAACTACCGAGCCCTTCTATTTTGAGAAGTCTGCTGTGAAAAATTTTAGATCTCATTACTCATGAAACTTACTTGTGTTTGTCAAGTTCAGTTGCACATCTGACTTTACATATAACCTATAAAGAGAATAGAAAATTTTGAAAACATGTGTAATACAGTATTCTTAAATTTGTTTTGACTTTGTGTTTCAAAGTGATACAGCAACAAATAATAACAGATGGCAAGTAAAATTCAAAGTTAAGAGTTGGACTACCTTGAAGCAAAAAGAGGCAGGTTTCCCAAGGCTTAAAACCATAAACTAATAACCTTCTTTGCTATAATCTTAAACTTAAATTTCCATCTTTAAAATTTTAAACAGAAGTAATCCAGTTTAAACATTCATAGAACTTTATTTTTAAGCTTTTTTAAAAAAAATGGAGGTACTGGGGATTAAACCCAGGACCTGGTGCATGTTAAGTATATGCTCTACCACTGAGCTATTACCCTCCCCTGAACTTTTATTTGAGCCAGATATTGTGCTGGATGGCTTGCCACCTAGTCTAAATTCCATTAATCATGTTTTGTCTGAAATGGAACAACTTACTTAAATATGGATATGGCTGAGTGTTCGCCAAATATTATTTCCCCCTAAGATGAAATGAAGTAGCAAAAGGAAACAAGGACCAAAAAATAAACACAAAGATAGTGAACATATATCATATTTAGTAAACTTACTTCCTTCATAGAGCCTTGCAATAGGCAGGTCCTCAAATACTTGATGAATAAAGTCAAGCAGAAACGTAAGTAGAATTTGAAATAAACATGGTAACATCTGAGAACATAGTGTGGAAGGTCTCAATTCCTAACTGGTAAATTTGAACTTTATTATTCAGATAATGGGAAGATATTGAAGGTTTTTATATAGGCACTCCAAAATATGGAATTTCACTTATCTGGCATCTGTGTACAGGAAACTACAGAGAAACTGCAGACTAGAAGTAGAAAGACTAGTTATAAGACTATTGAAATAGAGCATGATCTTTCAGACTACTGAAATAGAGTATGGAATCTGGAAAGAAAGAGGCAAGTACAAAACATTATAACGAAAACCAGTGTAAGTACTCAATAACTTACTGATTTCATTCATTTACTGAGCACAGGCTATGAAAGATGCCATGGATTCATAAATACAGTAACTGTTTCTGCTCTCAAGAAGCTCAGTGCATGGAAGAAGGAGACAAGCCAACTATTTTCAAACATTGTCATATCAATACAGAAGATGCTATCTCAACATTTAGGAAGGGAGAAAGACTAATTCAGTCCAGGAGATGGTGAGAAGTAAGGGGAAAGGAGAAAGACTGTAAAGAGTCAGGGAGGACTTTTTGAAGGAAGTCACATTTGAGCCAAGTTATGAAGGGTAAATGAGTGTTAGACAGGTACATGCTCAGGCAAAGATGACAGCCTGGGCATCTACTCATATCTATTGTATTTTGGTTAACAGTACCACCATCTACCAGAAGCCAGTTGTGATAGAGGGTTCTAAAGTATTATCCCATTAGTCACTAAATTGTACCACTTAAATCATTCTCAGATGCATCAGATTTTTCTGTCTCTACTACTACAGTGAGTTATTACAACAGCCTTTTAATTGGTCTCTCTGCTTTCATTCTTTACTCCACCTATATCTTGAGAAGGTAACTGTTCATTTTACTACTTTTCCTTTATTCTCATCTCTCAACATGTTTTATCTTAATTTAAAAATTGTACTAACATATATATGTATATATATATATGATAAAACTTACTACTGTTTAACCCTTTTTAAGTATACATTTCAGTTGCATTGAGTGCACCCACATTGTTGGGCAACCATCAACATCATCCATCTCTTTAGAGCTTTTTCATCCTCCCAAATTGAAACTCTGTATCCATTCAACTCCTTATTCTTTTCCCCTCCAGCCCCTGGCAACCACCATTCTACTTTCTGTCTCTAAGAATTTGACTAGGTACCTCATATAAGGGAAACCATACAATATTTGTCCTTTTGTGAATGGATTATTTCACTTAGCATAAAGTCTTTAAGGTTCATATATGTACATCACTCATGTAGCATGTGTCAGAATTTCCTTCCTTTTAAAGGCTGAATAATATTCCATTGTATGGATATACCACATTTTGTCTATCCATTCATCCACTGATGGACACTTGATAGCTTCCACCTTTTGGATCCTGTGAATGATGCTGCTACAAATGTGTTTTATATATGAACATGTTCTATATATGATTGCAAAAGTCATTTGAGAGTAAGTTGTATACATTATGATGCCTCTTTATCCCTAAATACTTCAATGTATATTTCCCTGAAAAAAGTAAATTCTCTTATATAACCAGAATAATTACAAAAATCATAAAATTGATATTGATAAAATACCATTATCTAATCTGCAGACCTTTTTCAGACTTTGCCATTTAGTGTCCAAAATGCCATTTATGGGGGGAAAAGAATCCAGATTTATGTATTATACATAGAGTTTGTATATATTTAATCTCCTTTAATCTTTTTTTCCCTTTGTCTTACATAATATTCAATTTGTAGAGTTCAGACCAGTGATTCTGAAGAATGCTTCTCAGTCTGGGATTATTGGATGTTGCCTCATGATTAGATTTGGAATATGCATTTTGGTAGAAATGGTGGTGCTGCATTCTTCTTAGTGCTTTATGTCAGGAGGATCATGATGTTGACTTGCCCATTACTGTGATATTAACTTTGATCATTGGTTAAGATGGTATCTACCAGGTTTCTCCACTCTTAAGTTACTGTTTTTCCCACTGTTAATAGTGTCATATGGAAAGACATTTAGAGACTAGTAACTATCTTTCATTCTTCACACTTTCATACACTAGTTTTAGCATCTACCAATAATTCTTTGTATGACTGAGCTATTATGCTGTATATCAGAAACTGACACAACATTGTAAACTGACTATACTTCATAAAAAAATTCTTGCCTGAATAAATTATTATTATGATGGAGCACCTTCTTTTTAAAAGTAAATCTGATCATATTACTCCAAGAAAAAGCCCACACTCTTGATGCATAAAGGTCTTTTATCATCTAGCAGCTCCACCTTCCCATCATTGTATCCTTTTATCCCATCTTCAATCTTATGGTTTGCTCATTCTCAATTACTGACAACTTTCAAATAAGGGGTTCAATTTCACATCTCCATGCCTTTGCACATGTTTTTACTTTACCTGAAATATGATTTCATGGCCATATAACAAATTCCAACTCATCCTTCAATCCTTTATGTTGTCACTCTAAGTGCCTTAGAAGAGGGAAACCACTCTGTACCCTGGTATTACAAATCACACTCTATGGCATTTATTTACATTTTTATTTCCCTCTGAGAGACTGTAACGTACTCATATTTATAGCCTCAGTGCCCAGCATAATGCCTGGTTCACAGTAGGTTTTCAGACAATGTTTGAATAAATGAGCACTCAATTTAGGTCAAAGCAAGTACTCTGGTATGATGTGGTCTGGGTGAGTATGGGACATATGACACAAGTTAAAACTGGAGGGGCCGGCAGTCATCCAATCACAGGATATTGTATAAAAATGCCAAAGGAAATAAAACAAAAGGAAAAATGCCAAAGGATTAGGCTTTTAACTCCCACAAACCTGTAATATGATTTTATGTTTGAGTGACTTCTTAGGTGACAGTGTAGACAAAGGATTAGAATGGTATAAAGAATTCCAGTTAAAAGACTGATATATTTGAGAGGGTCCACTCAACCTCATTCTCAAGTTTTAAATCTAAAGAACTAATAGAATGAGAGCCCCACTGACAAAATTTTTTAAAAAGTCAGGTCATGGAATTGATTATTAATTTTAAAATTTATTACATACAAGCAGAAATATTGAGATTTGGAATATAAAAAGTAAATAACAGTCACTACAGAGGTGACAGCTGAAACTCAAAGTAGAGATATTTAGGGGCATAAGTGTTGGTATATGTACATAAAACTATGGCAGGCTAACCTGTTAGCTTTCAAGTAGGGTAAAATCTCAGACTTCCACAGTTTCTGATGTAATAATCTGCTGATTAGAAATGAACTAGAGAGGGTGAAATGGTAAATGGAGGCACAGAAAATTTAAAATAATCTACAAACCACTCTTTGTTAAAATGAGAAATTTGGATGTAGCATGGATACAAACATTTTGATCTAGAGAGAATGGAGGAGAGGATTTGGCAGATGGATTCTATTTTTTTTTCTAGTAAAGTAGGAAGCAAGATCATATCCTGAGAATGGATGTTAGATTTAAGCACTTGGAATATGGAAAACATTTGTAATCAAGAATGAAAGGTTGGGAAGCAGAGAGGTCCAGTTCAAGCAGGCAGTTGACAGTGGACACAGTCAGCAGGTTTCCTGATTTTAAAATTGAAACAATCTAACAGAAAAAATGGATGCCACTATAAACAGTTCAAATAACTACATGGTATTTTTCAAGTAATAATTTAGAACTGTAATATGTAGAACTATCGTAGCGAAAGAAAAAGTAGGTGAGTGAACCATATCAGCACAACCAAATCAAGGGATGAGGAATACTAGATTGACTATAGTTTCTAAGTGCATGTGACATCAGAAGGAAGCTAATGGAGTGGGGAAGACAAAAGGGGTAAAGTGAGTAAAAGTTAGGATGAGGGTAGAAAACAGATAAAGGGATGAATTTAAGAAGTATAAGGGGAAAGAGAAGAAACTGGTTGGAAAGAATTGCTTCATTTTCATGAGTTGATCTAAGGTGTGGTCATGCTGTTGGGCAGCTCCAAAGAAATGGAGGGTTTTAGAGATCTGAGAAGTCACTGAATTGAGAGACACTGGATAGGTTACCAATATGGGCTTTGAAAAAGATCTATGTAACAAAAGACTAGGCTAGAAGAAAGAAAGTGATGATTCGTTCACAAAAGTGGAAGTTGTTATTATTATAGCCAATGATGATCTAATCAGATGGCATAGATTTCAGAAAGATGATGGTGGTGTAACATCAGTAAGTAGTACTGGGAAACATAAAATGGGCTGATTGTTCTTCCCACAAATTGAGATGGGGTGTTTATAAGGCATGAAGCATCATCTGGAAAAAGCTAGATTTCAATGAAGATACAGTATTCAAATGAAGAAGAGAAAGGGGACAGGGTGGGAAGTGTAATCCATAAGGTCATGGGATGGGATAAATAATGGGTGTGAGAGGGAATTTAGCTGAATAAGGAAAGAATTAAAGGTCAAGTGTCATCTCAGATTTGCAGACTGTTACAATGCAGCATATAAACACAACCAGGTACTTCAATCACAATTAGATTATAATAAGGTTAAAAACAATGACCTAATATTAGTAGACTCCAAGTATTGTATAGAATATAGTTAACAGGACATGATCCTATTAAAAAATATGAATATCAAGAAATGTCAAACAATCATATATTATTTGTTAAGATCTTAAGAGTGAAGGATAGTTCATGAAGCATAGTTAACATGTGCTCTATGTAGATTTCCTGAAGTTTAGAATGGTAAATAAGAGACATCTAAATGATTGGCTGATGTCAATTTATGTCAAAGGGGTCATATCTTTCTAGGTATTTCTTAATATTAGAAAAACTGAATAAGTGGGCCATTTTATTTTTTAACTAAAAACTTTAAAATTTAAGTGTAGTTAATATATAGTATTATATTAGTTTCAAGTGTACAATGCAGTGATGCAAAATTTCTTAATAAATTATAATCCATTTAAAGTTATTGTAAAATACTGGCTATATTCCCTGTGCTGTATAACATATCCTTGTAGTTTATGTATTGTATACATAGTTGTTTGTACCTCTTAAAACTCTACTCATATCTGCTTTCTTTTCCCCTTGGTAACCACTAATTTGTTCTCTATACCTGAAAGTCTGTTTCTGTTTTGTTATATTCATTCATTTATTTTTTTAGATTCTATAAACAAATGATAACATACAGAGTTTGTCTTTCTCTGTCTGACTTATTTCACTTAGCATAATACCCTCCAGGTCCACCCATGTTGCAAATGGCAAAATTACATTCTTTTCATGGCTGAGTAGTATTCCATTGCATATACATTCCACATCTTCTTTATCTCTGTTGATGGATACTTAGGTTGCTTCCATATTTTGGCTATTGTAAATAATACTGCTATGAACATTAGGGTACGTCTATCTTTTTGACCTAGTGTTTTCACTTCCTTCAGGCATATACCCAAGAGTGGAATTGCTAGATCATATGGTAGTTCTATTTATTTTCTGAGAAACCTCCATA